CTGAAACGTTGATGGACATCTACCAGACATTACGGCATAACAACCCAGAACACAGCAATCACCGTTTCATTTTCTTACCTGAGAGTCAACATCAATCTCTCCTCCAATGATATAGGTCGTTGAAAATTTGTCATACGGTAATCGAATTGATCCCTAATAGCATTTGCAATGTAATCAAATGTGCTAGGGAGCATTCTTGCATACTCGTAAAACAGTTTTGGTCCTCTGGAATTGCTTCTGAGTTGCTCAAACAAGTGGTGAAATTCACCATACAATTCCCTCCCCAAGTAAATGGTGTTTGTTGGTGATCTTTTCCTTTCGGCTGCCTTCCTTTTCCTAACTATTAACGTTTTCAAGAACGCACTTTCTGTGAGCAAAAGGTCACGTTTACCTGACCAAGCCATCGTGGATACTAATGTCTTGCCGCCCCGCCCCCCGCGTCTCTCACGCAGGACACAACAAGCGATTACCTCGCTTCATATGACACCCGAGGCTGCTTATACAGCTCGCACTGCTCGCTTCTTATCGCTTACCTAGGACATTGCCTTAAGGACTTTAACGATAAAAGTTGCAGTCATGGAAACTCACAGACCTAAACGGTATTTCACCTTGTTTCTGTCACCACGCAGGAAACTATAAAATCTAGTAATATCCTGAGCACAAGGGCTTGGCCTATCGGAGAGTGCTTTAGAGCTTGTTAAAGAGAAGACGAACCACGTATTTATGAATTTTATATTCATCGCGAAGTTTTGGTATTGGAAAAAAGAGTGGAAAGTATCATAATTATTTGAAGGGAGACTTTGCTGATACGACAGCCCGTACCTGTACAGATATCAAGATGAAACGTAACTGAGATTCTGTTACAGGTTTGGCAAGGTTTACCTGGCGAAGAAGAAGAAGAAGGGTGGAAGTGACGCCGGGAAACTTTACGCCATAAAGAACATCAGGAGGAGATCACTAGAGAGGAGGGACATCGACCAGGCGTGGATGGAGCGTCACGTATTTGAAAAAACGCTTAAAAAATTATTAATTGCGCAGGGGAGGTGCATTTTCTCTGCTTTGGAGTTTTTATTTTTGCATATAGCATTTCACTTTAAGATCTGAGCTGCCAACCAGGAAATATTATCAGAACTTTTTGTTTTCAGAATAAAGAAGCTGCAGCCGCCGATAAGGCTTAAGAAGGCGCAATAAAAAAAATGATATAAATGCCTGTGTACTTTATTTCTTGAAACACTGAATATAAATCATATATCCCATTCTGTCACTGTACCCTTCTCCCCTACTAAGTTTGTAATTCCTGAAAGGGCATGGAGTCAAAAACATTGCATGCAAGACATAACCAACCATCTCCAGGGATGAACTTGAGAAAATAATCATCAAAAACCCACATGTCAAGTGGGAAGATGTAATTGGCTTGGAGGACGTCAAGATGGACATCGTGGATGGAGTAATATTCCCACAAAAGATTCCCGAGTTCTTTACAGGAGTCCGGAAACCAGGAAGGTGTGGAGGAATAAACGTTGCTTCTGTTTATAATATTTAATTGTATGAACATTTATTATCTTTCTTTAAACTTGATCATCTTTGAACTATTACCTTTGTAAAATGTAATATCTTTCGTCGCTGATCACCCTCTTTGGAAGGGTAATGCCTTTCACCTCTTTAACCAGTCTGAATAAAGAAGGAGGCGGAGCAACAAGGCCGCGTTCTTTGTACCTATACTCCACATAGTTTGGTGCCGAAACTCGGGAGCCTTTCTTCGAGGTAAATACTAAGAGTGTGTACGAAATTAGAAGACGTTACGAACCATCACTACACTTCAAGACGTTCAGACCTCATAGGGGGAAGAGACTAAAGCGATTTAAAACGCACTACGGGCGGACAACTAGCTCGCAACGACCCCATTGTACAAGGTAAGTGGTTTGATTTGTCACAGTATTTGCAGTTTCGACTATTCAGACTTGTATGAACATGAAGATATGCATATTAATTACCAACATAGAGCATATTCTTAATTATGGTGATTATTCCTAGCTGTGGGCGAAATACAAGTCGGTCGGCAATATAGCAAAATGCGAAGAATACATCGACTCTGCCAAACGTGCCATTCAAAGAGGTTCACGCCAGTTAGAGAGGAAACTCACAGCTTCAGCGGCGAATCTGACTTTGACAGACCCAGCACTCGTCACAGCCGCGGCTCCGATATCAATGTCATCTTCCATCAGACTGCCTCCAATTAAACCAGAGCCCTTCTCAGGTGACGTAGAAACTTGGTCGCGGTGCTGGGAACAGTTTCAGTCTTCAATCGATAAAGATTGTTCGCTATCCACCATTAATGAACACATTTACCTCCGTAGTTACTTGGAGGACAAACCAAAACAGTTGGTCGACGGCATCGCTGTCATAGCAGAAACTTACGAAGAGACAAAGAAAATTCTGCAAACTCGATACGGAGACAGAAACAGGATAATTCAAGCTCATCTAGACTTCTTGGAAGACGTAAAACGTATCAAGTTTGCCACTCCGGAAGCGCTAAACACCACTTTTATCGAGTGCAATCGCCGTATACAGGCATTACGCGCACTTGGTGAAGATGTCAACGGCTATGGTAGAGTGTTAGCGTCGAAGATACTGCGTGCTCTCCCAGATGATATCTGTCGGCGCTGGATTATTCATGTGAAAAGACAGAGCCTTTCGGAAGGCGACATATTACTATTACCTTTGTAAAATGTAATATCTTTCGTCGCCGATCGCCCCCTTTGGAAGGGTAATTAATGCCTTTCACCTCTTTAACCAGTCTGAAAAAAGAGGGAGATGGAGCAACAAGGCCGCGTATCTTTGTACCTATACTCCACAAGTTTTCTGGGGCTGATATTGGGAATGCCATACAATGTGCATTGATGGACACGATTAGAGACATTACAACTGCCAAGTCCTTTCTCAATAACAGTGAGAATTCCAAGGTGTCCCTCTTTAGACCTTGCCCAGAGGATACCCCTGGTGCTTCAAAAATGACCTGGGATAAAGTGAAACGTCATCAGATGGAAGACCCACCAGTCACAATGGTGAGTGTATCTGGTGTTGACAGTTTCAGTGTTGGAGTTCTGGTAAACGACACAGCAGATGTCAGGAGGGGAGGGGGATTGAAACTGAATAATCGCATCAGTTACTGATCTGTGTTGATTTTAATTTAATAAAAACTTAAACACTAAAATATTATCAGAATCTTGTAAAGAAACAAGCTAGCGACACCACCAGAAAATAGAACAAAATCATAATAGAGAATAGCTATTAAATCCCTCAAAAGTGTGTGAAGTTCCAATTCAATGGGACCCCACGTTCACACTTTTCCGGGGATTAACGAAAAATGGTGTAACTGTTGAATCCACTTCAAACTCTGATTTTCTGTTTCATGAAGAGCCTTCTTAATATTGTCCTCCCATCTATGTCTCCCAAATTCTCTTCCCTTCTAATTACCCTACCATCTCCTGTGTATGGTTGGTTTGATCGCCCTAATAATACACAGCAAAGAGTAAAGTTCTTGAAATTTGCATAAGATTTTGGTCAGCGGTGATAACTTCGATACAACTGTTATTTTCTCTTATATAATACTTTAAAATTTTTGGCAATTTGTGAGTTTCAGGCAATGTGGTGACCAAATATAAACAGGTATAACAACTACTACGTCTCTTTCTGACTGATATAAAGCACTGCAAAAATTGATTCTTACATCTCTTGATGAATGCCAATACCACCAATTAAGGTACTTCAATGTGTTTCTATAATTCATAACCTAACTGGATCATTTTGTAAACAGCTTGCAAGGAGTTACTTAAAACCCATACACAAGGGGAAACACATAAGTGAACAATAGCAATGAAAATTTCCACTACAAATTAGCCAAATAAAACTATGGAAGTTAGAAATTAATATTATGCTGATTAACTTTTGTTCAGACCCGCCATAACCTTCACAAAGACCTCACATAGTTTGTAGTGCATAGTTTTCCACCAATAATCACCAGAAACTAAAGAAGGGAATTGATTTAAAACACAGTAAACGAGAATAGCTATTAAATCCCTCAAAAGTGTGTGAAGTTCCAATTCAATGGGACCCCACGTTCACACTTTTCCGGGGATTAACGAAAAATGGTGTAACTGTTGAATCCACTTCAAACTCTGATTTTCTGTTTCATGAAGAGCCTTCTTAATATTGTCCTCCCATCTATGTCTCCCAAATTCTCTTCCCTTCTAATTACCCTACCATCTCCTGTGTATGGTTGGTTTGATCGCCCTAATAATACACAGCAAAGAGTAAAGTTCTTCTTTCCATAAAAGCAGTGGTATGTTCTGAATGTTGGACAGACTATTCAAAGTCCTATTACTATAGTGCTTCCCTAACATAGCTTTGCTTTGTTAACAGGAACACATGATGTAGGCGCTTGCCACTTCAAAACCAAGAGTGGATGAAGAATACATAGCAAAACTAGAAAAATTTGCATAAGATTTTGGTCAGCGGTGATAACTTCGATACAACTGTTATTTTCTCTTATATAATACTTTAAAATTTTTGGCAATTTGTGAGTTTCAGGCAATGTGGTGACCAAATATAAACAGGTATAACAACTACTACGTCTCTTTCTGACTGATATAAAGCACTACGAAAATTGATTCTTACATCTCTTGATGAATGCCAATACCACCAATTAAGGTACTTCAATGTGTTTCTATAATTCATAACCTAACTGGTTCATTTTGTAAACAGCTTGCAAGGAGTTACTTAAAACCCATACACAAGGGGAAACACATAAGTGAACAATAGCAATGAAAATTTCCACTACAAATTAGCCAAATAAAACTATGGAAGTTAGAAATTAATATTATGCTGATTAACTTTTGTTCAGACCCGCCATAACCTTCACAAAGACCTCACATAGTTTGTAGTGCATAATTTTCCACCTATAATCACCAGAAACTAAACAAGGGAATTGATTTAAAACACAGTAAACTGTTAAAAATTCATTACTTATATAACAAACATCAACAGTAGGATTGTCAAGATGGGACGCATAATTTTGGAGTCACAATTCAACCATAAAGTGCAATAACAACGTTGTTTTTGAGTATTACCAAAACAAAACAGCCTGCCTGATATAACTGATGTGAGGATATTACCTGGATGGCTCCCTGGTTCACACATTAAGAGCTTTTGAAACTGTCAGATGAATGTAAGCGCATGTTTAGCTTTAACATTATGTGCATTGTATTTTCAAGTCAAAAAGTTCAGTCAGAACCGACATAACGGACAAGATGACAACAGCTTGGCATTGAACATTATAAGAGTAAACATCTAATGACCACAGTGCTGAAGTTGTTAGCATTAAATTGAAGTACTAGTATTCAAAATATAGTGAGAAAGAGTAGGATATAGTACCCAAGATAAGACACGACCGCGGAAGTGTTAACTCATAGAAACAACCCAAAAACTGTAAGTAAAGGGCGACCAAAACCAAACAACGTGAAACCATACAGTAGCTGCCATATTCAATAGGTACAGCAAGATGCCACAAGCAAAGAGCACAGACGTCAGTATTAGGAACCATGACCAAAGACAACTCAAACATGGTTGTAGACCACTGCGATATATATGTAAGAAGGATGTGACCAACGACGATAACTCGATAGAATGCGAGCACTGTCAGAGACTGCAGCGGCCTCACCAGAGGAGAATTTGATAAAGCAAAAAGAAAGAACTGCAAGCTGACATGGTTATGATCGGATTGCAAGCCAAAAATAATAAAGATGACTGAGATAGAAGAAAAAATAACAGAAAAGCAAAAAACATATCTCGCACCCATTGGAAGCAGCACGATAGACATCATATTCTGCAGAGGAAACAACATACGTGTAAGGCAACAGTGGACTACACGTCTAGCCTAGCGCCACTCAGTAAACACGTCCCAGTCATCGCCACCTTCGACAAGCAGACTAATGCAATGCCAGTCCATCAGAAAAGAGCCACAAACGTATCGAGAAAGCTTGACTTGCAAGTCCTAGCAGAAGCAAGAGAGGAAATTGAGTCAATTCAAGTAGCCATACACAGCAGTGTCACAAAAGCAAATCAACAGATACAACAGCTACTCCAATCCGCAATAATCCCTGTCAAGAAAAGACAAGCAAAGCCATGGTTCAATGCGCACTGTTAAAGAAAAAGACGGACTACTCGACAAGCCTTACACCAAGGAAAACTCTCAGAACTCTCCCAAGACTTAGCGACATACTCGATTGCAAGGAAACAGTACAAAATCCTTCTTAAGGATAAAAGGAACACTTATATGGTGCAGATATTGGAAATCTGGTACAAGAGGCTCTAATGCAAACCATTAGAGACATCACCACTGCCACTCGCTTTGAGCGTTTACATACAGATGACGGTCAGCCCCGATTCAAACCTCGAAGATCACGTGGCCCAGGAGTAGAGAAAATGAATTGGGATGAAGTGATAGACAATCCAGGGCGCGATGTTTCATTTACCAATTAATCAAATTATGCAGACAGCTCGCGAATGGGTCAAAGACCACTCTCCATGGAGATTCCACACGTAAGCACTTTAACGATAAAAGTTGCAGTCATGGAAACTCACAGACCTAAACGGTATTTCACCTTGTTTCTGTCACCATGCAGGAAACAATAAAATCTAGTAATATCCTATGCACAAGGGCTTGACCTATCGGAGAGTGCTTTAGAGCTCGTTAAAGAGAAGACGAACCACGTATTTATGAATTTTATATTCATCGCGAAGTTTGGTATTGGAAAAAAGATGGTATGGAGTATCATAATTATTTGAAAGGAGACTTTGCTGATACGACAGCCCGTACCTGTACAGATATTAAGATGAAACACAACTGAGATTCAGTTACAAGATTTGGCAAGGTTTACCTGGCGAGGAAGAAGGGCGGAAGTGACGCCGGGAAACTTTACGCCAGAAAGATCATGAAGAGGACATCACTGAAGAGGAGTGACATCGACCACACGTGGACGGAGCGTCGCGTATTTGAAAAAACGCTCGACACTCCTTCCTTCGTGCAGGAACAGGGAAGACCTTTTTGGCGGAGGCTATTGCAACAGAGGCAAATGCCACATTATTCCCACTATCATCAGACCTTGCAACGAACTCAGCTGCAGAGTCAGTGCTACGAGCCAGAAGCCTGTTTCATGCAGCAAGAGAGTACAAACATAGCGTAATATTCATTGATGAAGCAGATTCGGTGTTTTCCGCAAGGTCTGACAATGAATCTGAGTCATCGAGAAATATAAAAACTGAATTTCTGGTTCAGATGGATGGTACAGTATTTTAAAACAATTCCTTTATACACAAATTGTGCACATTCAATGCCCACGCCCAGTAACCTCTCGTAGCCTGTGTCTGTGGCCTATTTTCTCTTCCTAATGTTAACGACATTCTATTTTCGCGTTCTGGTTTACATTGTATCGAAATACCACAAGGTGCATTTTTCTCTGCTTTGGAGTTTTTATTTTTGCATATAGCATTTCACTTTAAGATATGAGCTGCCAACCAGGAAATATTATCAGAACTTTTTGTTTTCAGACCAACAAGCTGCAGACGCCAAAAAGGAAGGAAACAAAGGACGTGGAAAAATTCAGAATCCCTAACATGGCATACATAGTGTTGGAATGTTAGTGTACTTAATCCACTTGTTCAGTCTAACAGACATCATTTATGAAGTAACCAATAACCTATAATAATCTTATTTGAAGCTATTGATCTATGGCAAATCTGAACGAAAACAAGGAACATCACAGATACAAGCCAAGACATACGAAAAGTCAAGGTAGGAGAAGAGCATACCTTACGTTCACCTGTTAATTTGAAACAGAAGAAGCATCCATTCCCTTCTTGACTATTCTATGAAACTCAAGAACAATTATTTAGGCTGCATACAAACTTATGAAGGTGAGAAACATATGCCCTCAAAAATATCAACATTTAAACAAACAACCAGATTCAGAAACCAAGTCTTCAAACCCGCCTTAGTACAACAACATACAAGATTAAACATTTACAGGACTGTAACAAGACCGGTACTATTGTATGGAAGTGAAGTCTGGACACTTAGAAAAACGGATGAGAAAAGATTGCAAGCAGCAGAGATGAAATTTATGAGGAAAACTGCTGGCTTTACACTTTTTGACCACAAAAGAAATGAAGAAAGACTAGAAAAACTGAAAGAGAACCCGGGAAGAAATCACCAAATTGGGTTGGACGGTGCTACCCCATCCACCCTACAGTCCAGATCTGGCACCCTCCGACTTCCATCTCTTTGGGCCACTTAAAGATGCTATCCGCGGAACAAGATTTGAAGATGACGAGAGCGTGATTCAAGCAGTGAGGACATGGCTACGTGCACAGGACAAGAGCTGGTACCGGCAAGGCATGCACGCACTTGTTCCACGATGGCGTAAAGCCGTACAAGTTGATGGGGACTATGTGGAAAAATAGTATGTGTGAGGGAAACATTGATTTATATTGTCACCAAATTTCAGCCATCTTGAATAAATATATTCTGAGGAAAAAAATGTGGGGCATTACTTAATGAGCGACCCTCGTATATATGATGATGATGATCACCGATTTAAAAGGGTCTCTGATTGCTGGTTGCTGCAAAGAGCGCCATCAGTATAGCAGACTTTTAAACAGTTAGTTCACTTGTACTTTGTATTCACCTATTTGGGCAGTTGAAACACAAAGGACATTCAAAACCTTTCTTTATCCGTGGGTAAC